GAATTTATTGTAATATTACTCCAACAGTGAAACACAATCATTAGGGTGGTCAAACATTTTACCAATTTTTTTTTCTGGTTTTCCCATCATTAACGATATACTTATTTTATACTAATCGTAAGTGAACGAAAATACCATTCAGATTCTTAAATACGTTTTTTTTAGATGTAGAAGAATTTATAATCTAAAACAAAAAAATTGGTACCTTGTTTCGCACAATAGATTTTTTAACGAAGATAACAGAATTAAATTTCAACTTTACTATTGAACATAATCACCCTGTACACGAAAAAGCTATTTTCTAGTTTTACAGTAGATTCAGAGATATTTATAAGATTCGTACTTGCAATTATTAATTTAATAATGATTTTTAACAAGTAATGAGTTATCCACTTTTTACTTAAGATAACAATTTTTACTTACATTAGTTATTTGAAGTTAAGGCAGACTTGTACGTAGATGTAAAAATTACTTTTAAAAGACTTACCAAGATCAGTGAGAGCACGTATAATCTGACCCATTGACGGATTATCCTGAATAAGAAGATGCAAGCATTGTTCCCTTCTATGACCAAGTGTCTTTTCTGGATGTGCGTTATTAGTTGCATTTTCAAGTCTACTGTAAATATTATTTATTTCTGAAGAACTCCCTTTTCTTTCGAAGTAACCTCTCCAATTGGCCTGTTATTCAAAACATATTTTTTAACAATACATAAAAAAAAGTAAATTTCAATTGTTTACCTGAATTTTTATTGCTGCATTATGTTCTTTTATTTGTTTTTCCCGTTCTTGTCTCCTGCTTGTAAATTCTTTTTTGAACTTTTTGCGGAACAAATATCCTTTAATACATCTCTGTAGGTTCACGATGGCCTCCATTTTTTCTCTTTCTATTTTCTTTTCTCGTAAAGTCCTTTGGACTTTTACCACAATTTTTTTCAGATTCAAATATCGCGATCTATCGTTAATCATATGCCGTTTTGCTCTAAACCTGTTTTGTATTATAATAACGGCCTTTTTAAGCGTTAAATATCTTTGCCTTTCATTTCTCATTGCTACTGAAGCCCTATATCTCCTTTGAATTAGAATTGTGTATTTTTTTAGTAAAATGTATTCGCGCCTTTGCGTTCTCATTAAATTAATTGATCTATACCACCTTTGTATGGTCACAGTGGCATTTCGAAGATTGTTATACTTATGAATTTCCCTTAACATTGCCCTTTTTGCTCTGTACTTTACTTGAAGAACAATAACTTTTTCTCGAAGGCTTATATAATAAATTCGTTGTTGTTTCATTAATTCATTGGCCCTGAATTTTCTCTGTATCACTATTGCAGCATTATGCTTTTGCAAGAACTGTTGTCGAGTTTTTTTCATTAGTAAATACCTTCTAAACGCCCTTTGAATTATAATTGATGCGGTTTTTAGTTTAGAATACAAAGCATTAGCAATTCTTGATTTTAATTTAGCCCTATATCTTCTTTGAAGTACTACTGTTAAAGTTTTTAACTTGATATAGTAAGCTCTTTCAATTTTCATAGCTTTATTGGCTTTATACTTTTGTTGAATCACTAAAGTGGCTTTATATATGTTTAAGTAGTCTTTCCTGACAGATTTCATTAATCTTAATGCTCGATACCTTCTTTGAATAACGATCGTATATTTTCGAATCATCTGGAAATATGTTTTCGTCATTTTCATGGCCATGGTAGCCCTATATTTCCTTTGTACAAATAGTGCCGCCTTTTGCAATTGCAAATAATCATCTCTAGCGTTCTTCATTGATTTTAAAGCTTTATATTTCCTCTGAATTGTAATTGAAGCATTACGTAAACGTTGATACTCGATTTTAGCAATTTTCATCATCATATTTGCTCTATATTTCCTTTGAACAAATATTGCAGCCCTTCTTAGATTTAAATAATCACATCTGTTATTCTTCATTAATTTCAAAGCTCTATATCTTCGTTGGACATTAATTGTGGCTTCACGTAGGTTTTGGTAATCCCTTTTAACAATTTTCATGGTTCTGTTTGCCCTAAATCTATTTTGTATAGTTATTGTAGCCTGTTTTAATTGTTGATAATTGTTTCGCTCGGTTTTCATTAATTTTATAGCCCGATATCTCTTCTGTATTACAATTGCGGAATGACGTAAGTTTAAGAAATCATTTCTTGCAATTTCTTTAGCTCTTTTAGCTCTGAAGTGCCTTTGTATTACGATAGTTGCTCTTTTTAGATTCTGGTAATTATTTTTTGAATCTCTCATTAATATTAAAGCTCGGTACCTTCTTTGAATTCCTACAGTGGTGTTTTTCAATTTTTGGAAATCATTTTTAGCACTTTTCATAGCTTTATTGGCCTTGTACAGTCTTTGTATGAAAATAGTTCTTTTCCGCAATTCCAGATAATATTTTCTTACCATTTTCATTCGGTATGTTCTTTGAATTGTTAATGTAGCTTGTTTCAAATTTTGGTAAGTTTCTTTGGCACTGTGCATTGCTTTCTGAGCTCTGTAACGTTTTTGAATTATTTGTGTTGCTTTTTGTAAATCGAGATATTCTTTTCTTGCACTTTTCATTAATCTTTGAGCTCTAAATCTTTTTTGAATTATAATCACAGCTTGACGTAATGTTTGGAAGTTATTTCTCGCAATTTTTGTTATTACATAACTTTTATATTTTCTCTGCAAAAGCAAAGTAGCTTGATATATCCTCAAATAATTATGTCTAACTATTCTCATTCGTTTCATAGCTCTATATCTTCTTTGGATTGTTATCGAAGCTTGGACTAAATTCTGAAAATCGTTTTTGGCAATTTTCATAGCTTTATTGGCTCTATACTTTCTTTGTATAAAAACTGTTGCTTTATACACTTGTAAGTAATAGTCTCTGATACCTTTCATGAGTTTTAAAGCCCTGTAGCGTCTCTGAATTGTAATTGTAGCGTTTCGTAAATTATGGTAGTTATTTTTTGCAATTTTCATTATTTTCATAGCCCTATATTTCGTTTGTAATAATACTGTAGCTTTACATATTTCCATATAGTTATTTCTATCTTTCCTCATTAGCTTCAAAGCTCTGTATCTTCTTTGAATTATTATTGTGGCTTTTCGTAATTTTTGGAAACCATTCCTAGTCTCTTCCATACATTTTTTGGCTCTGAATAACCTTTGTATATAAAGCGTTGCTTTTTGCAAATCTAGATAACGGTTTCTTGCAATTTTCATTTGTTTCAAAGTTCTATAATGATTCTGAATAGTAATGACGGCTGAACGTAAGTTTTGAAAATTCTCTCTTGCTATTTTTGAAGTTCTGTTTGCTCTAAATTTATTTTGAATATAAATCACAGTTTCTTTTAACTTTACATAATATTTTCTTTGTATTTTCATTGCGGCGTTCGCTCTAAATCTCTGTTGGATTAAAATTGTTGCTTTTTGCAGTTGTAGGTAGTTTTGTTTCGTAATTCTTGCAATTCTTAATGCTCTATATCGTCTTTGTAAAATAACAGTGGCAGTTTTGATACGACGATATTGGTCTCTTTGCTTCTTCATTTCTTGGTTTGCTCGAAATTTTCTTTGGATAAATATAACTGAATGTTTAAATTGCAAATAGTGGATCCTGTGAATTTTTGTAGCTTTGTTCGCTTTGTACCTACTCTGAATTAAAATAACAGATGCACGTAATCGTATGTAATAATTTCTGGCTGATTTCATAGCTTTTAAGGCCCTATACTGCCTTTGGATAGTATGTGCTGCAGATTTTAGGGAGTTGTACTCATATTTTTGCCTTCTCATAGCAATATTTGCTCGGTATTTTCTTTGAACGAAAATTGTAGCATTCTTAAGGTTACTGTAATATTGTCTTTCAGTTTTCATAAGTTTATTTGCCCTATATTTCCTTTGGATTTTAATGGTTGCCTCTCGTAATTGATGATAATTTGCTCTTTCATGTTTCATAATTTTATAGGCCCTGTATTGTGATTGTATTACAACTGTAGCCGATTTTAATTGTCTGTAGTTATACATTTCTTTTTTCATTGCAATGGTGGCTTTATACCTTCTTTGAATAATAACAGTAGCTTTTCGTAGATTTACGTACAAATTTCTTTCGATTTTCATAGACTTGTTCGCTCTGAATCTTCTTTGAATTGTTATACACGCCTGGCGTAAATTTAGGAAATATTTTCTAGCTTGTTTCATATTCCAATATCCCCTGAAGGCTTGCTGAATTGTTATAGTAGCTACTTTTAGTCGTAGGAATTTATTTTTTGCTACCCAAACTTTACATAAAGATTGCAATTTCACTATGGCCCATTTTCGCTTTTCTACTCTTTTCTTTACTAAATATTTTCGGCAATGACTTTGCAACAAAATCATTAAAGCCTTAAATTTTAAATATTTGCTCCTTTCTACTCTCATTCGTAAATAGCTTTGTATTTTCTGGGCAGCGATGAGCATTTTCTTTTCTTCAGTAACTATTTTCGCTATTGGTACCAATTGACGTAAAATAAGTTGGGATAGTTTTTGCCTTTTGTACCATCTTTGTATTGTACTTGCAGCCTTTTCGTAAGTTTCACGTTGTTTTATTAAAATTCTCAATCTGATTTGAACCCTCAGGCTCCTCCACCAATTTTGAATTGTTAATGCAGCTTCTTTGTATCTTGGCCCTTGAAATTTATACACTATTTGCCAAAGTAAAGAAAGAGTTTTCTCCCTGTGTCCGTCAACGATGTCAGTTGGTACAATATCTCCCTTTATTTCGAAACCAGAAGAATTTAAAGCTTCAAAAGCTACTCTGACGTTATGTACTTTTTGAAGACGTGAAATGGCGGGAGCCCTCAGCTCATTGGTCAAATCATTTCGTAACAATATTAGCTCAACTATTCTTGTTATACGCACACCGTCGCGAAGGTCAGAACTCAATTCTTTAATTGCATATTCATACTCGTGAATATAACTTTGCTTGTAAGTCAAGACATACCCAAATGGTTTTAGGTACTTGGTAACATCGCCTACAGCATAAAGAAGTTCTTTAGAAAAATGCAGCAGTATTTCTCTACTCTCTTTTATTTGCGCCTTTTTGGAGAAGAGACAAGGATCGTAGAAGATTAATTTTTTGTTTTTAGCGACGTCCAAAAAGTAGACGATATATAAAAATTTCTTGAGGATTATCTTTTTGATTTCTAACGTGTATTTTTCACATTGTGGAGTTTTGTATTTGCGTAAGAGAAACGCATTTTTAAAGAATTTCTCTTTTAAAAAGTGATGTAAACTCGCTATAATTGATTTTGGTTGAAGTTCAATTATCGTTCCAAAAACGACTTCCAAACCGATTTGTAGCCAAAAGGGATTATAACTTAGAAAGAGCTTCATAATTTCTGACTGTAAATTTACATTAAGATGAGGATTTTTATCTTTTCTAATTGAAAGCTTGTTTGAGTCTACTATCGCCCCAATTTTTTGGATAACGTCTCTTATCTCATCTGATCTGTATAGGCTTAATGCTGTTTTACGTAGATTGTTCAAACGTCCTGTGAAAAAGAAGTTTTTTGTTACTTGCTGTTTAGAAGGGGCAAAAGAAAGATCTTTTTGTTTAGACTCTTGCCATATTTTTCCAACATCTGGAGGATTTTCATGAGCATTGAGCTCATCAGGAGGTGTAAGTAATAGATTTAGACATTTGACGAAGTTTCTTTCTTGAGCATCGATCCATTCTGGGTCGTAACAAGTTCTATTAAGAAAAGGGTCTATGGATGTCGTTGCGGCTATTATAAAGGGATTTTTTATATTGATGTCGAAATTCTGATTTTTTTGAGCTGATACGACTGTCGTTTTTGATTTATCCAAAATACTTGACCGTCTATACCGAGATCTGTTCCAGTTGGTGGCATTTGAACCACAAGTCTTTTTAGGGGGCGTTAGGTACAAATGAATATTTGACTTTCGTTTTAAACCTTTCCTAGGGCTATCATTTTCACTTTCACTACTGCTCGTGGTGGGCAAATGAGTTTCTTCAGATATAAAATCTAGTTGCACAGGCTTTTCCTTACACCATAAGTTTGCTTCCAAGATTCCTTTTACTCCCTCGCCTGATAAGTTTAACTGGTGCATAGGAGAAATAGCGCAGACAAAATTCCCTGAAAAGGGCTCTTCTCCTAGACGAGTACTTGTGCTTATGTTGTGTATATCTCCGTAGGTTTCTGTACTTATATTGGTTTTAAGATATGTCTCATTGATAGTACTTTTAACGTTAGTTTCACTACTTATTAAGTTATTTTTTACGTACGTTTCGCTAGAAATATTTCTTTTAGGACTGCCTTTTGTATATGTTTCTGTGCTAATGTTATCTTTGTCACATGTCACAATTTCTCTAAAATACGTGTCGCTAATTCTTGGTTTATCTAAATTTTCTTTTATGTATGTGTCACTGTTTCTTTCTGAGATGTATGTTTCAGTATTGATGTTGTTTTTCATGCAGAAATCGTTGGAAAATCGATTCTCCATATTAAAGTTTTCCTGACCACCTGACGGGGTGTTTTCTTTACCATTCGTAAAAGAGAAATCAAAATTAAAGGCAGAGAGTCGCAGACCATGTTTCGGAATCATTTCAGTCTTAACTTTTTCTTCTATGTGGATAGATTTTCTGTTCGTGGAACATATATTTGGATGCAATTCTAATGAAACTCTTATGTCTTTATGAGCTTGTACTGGAGTTAATTGAAACATCGATGAATTTAGTTTATTATGGAGACTATTTTTAGGTGATTGAAAAGCAGTTCCTGGGACATGAATCATGTTTGATAAATCCTTTAAATGTATTTTGTCTTGCTCAAAAGGGTTTTCTAGACTTTCTTTCAGCTTTTCAAGACTGTCGTCAAAATTTTCGATCTTTATTTGTGCCATGTAGTCATTTTGTCTTACAGTATAAGTATTTCGAGAAAATCTAATATCACTCTCAATTGAATGTTCAAAATCTACTTTTGAGGGAGAAATGAAGTTACTGTTATCTAAGGGATGCGATTTATGAAGAGGTTTTTGATTTTCTTTGTCGTTTCCAAAATTTTTAATATTAAAATTTGTAACTGTGTTGGAGTTGTATCTTCTTGGTAGATTTTGAGAAAATGGGGAAATCTTGGTCTTTCTTTGAGGAGAAAATTTACTTAACTTTAATGGTTTGTTACTTTTTGGGGGCGTTTTAACTTTTTTTGAAACAACTCTCGGCATATTCACTTTCTTTGTTGTTTTTTGTGTTTTCTGAAAATGCGTTACAATGCTGTTTAAATTTAAAACAGACGGTAAAATCAAAATAAAGTTATTTCCAAGAAAGTATCTGTTTTGAATTCTTTTTAATTAAACTCGAAATGCTGCTGTATTACCAATTAATGCAATTTTTTTCAGGTACAAAGGTAACATCAAATTTTGGAATTATAGATTTTCATATGTATTTNTAAGGTCAAAGAGCATATTTTTAAATTCATTTATAATAGGTATCAAAAAAGTAAAAAACGAAAAGATTTCCGATCAGCAGTAGAAGGAAAAGGTAAAAAGGCAAAAATAGGCAAGGAAGGCAAGATTTTTGAAGATGCTCCTACTGTGACAGAAACATACTTGGAGGATGCTCTTACAGAGGCTCAAATTTATTGTTCCTGTAATCACAGAATGGTAGACACTACACTGGATCTTGCTCAAATGGTATTGCAACTTACAAAATCCATTGCACAAAAACCTTACAAGTAAGTTTATACAGGATCATTTTTAAAACTATCAAAATTTAATAATTTTCAATCTTATAAGCGAAATATTTAAAGACATGTACTCAAAATTAGGTGAGGGGTGTAAAATATAGAATGAAAAAACTGTAAATAAAACTTTACCACTAAAATGAAGCGTTTCTTGAAAAGAATATGAGTTCTAAACGTTTTTGTTATCTATTAGATTGGAAAAGCAAGCAAAAGACGAGCAATTTAGAATGTATTTATCAGGAGAGAACAGAAACTGTGTTAATGTGGATAAAAGTGGTAATGGGCTACAGCGACTGTGGTCTCAGCAGCTGACTATGTTTCCAATGGCTAGTTTAGAAACTGCAGAAGCTGTTATGTCGAAATATCCAACACCAGCATGTTTAATGGAGGTAATTATTATTATTTTTGTAGATTTATAGTACCATAAGTTAATTTTAGGCATATGAAATGTGCGAGACTTCAGATGAAGGAGAAAAACTTCTCCAGACAATTCCTGTAAGACGTGCCGCAGGACCATTGGCGAACGATAGAAAAATTGGACTTGAACTTAGTAAACGAATATACAAGTTTTTTACCAGTATGGACGGTGATATGGTATTGTAATTTTTACTTGAATTTCAAGTGCATGTGTTTTCACTTTTCGACTTGACGATTTTCCAAAAATTTTTATACCAATAAACATGTTACGTTTTCAAAATAGTCTTGTAATTGTTTCTTCAATTTGACCCTTTAACTAATAAAGTTGTTGAATCACAAAATCGTTACAATAAAATAGTACATTATCATACTCACGATTTTACGTGCCCCTTTAAAGAAAAATTTAGTTTTAAATAGTACTGTTTTTAATGAATTTTTATGTTCCTTCAAATTCTACTTCAAAAGTAAGTCATGTGACCGGTGTCACGATGTTTTTGAATTTTCTACACGTATAAACACGTACCTATCATTTGATACCACAGAATCTTTTTATGCAAAAATTCTGTGAAAATATACGTATTCGTACGAGACGCGTTTTATTAGCATTAAGCATACAACTTAAAACAAATTTTTGGATGTCAAGTTATGCAACCCATTTTACAGATAAATAAATGCCCATTGTAAAAGCATGAATGTTCATGAAATTTTGAATAATTCCTAATTATACCATATTTAATTTTTGAACTAAACAAATGTAACGTAAAAGAAATTACAAAATAAATTGCATTATATCTGCACATCTTGGAGATTAGGAAGTACATGGTATTTTGTGTACATTTTTGATTATAAGCCAAAAAGGTATGTATGCAACTAGAGTCTGTTTATATGATTTGCCGTTCGAAGTATAAATGAAAAACAAAAAATTATGATTGATAACTACAAGAAAGGCCAGAAGGACGTAGAAACACTCTTGATTAATTTAGATTCAAAAATTGAAAATATTTATTTTTATATAATTCTTTTACAATAAAAATGTCATTAATAGAAAACTTACGACTACTATAAACATTTACTAAAAAAAAAGGTGAAGTATACGTTGTACTTATAAAACTTTTTAGACTGTAATTGCTTACTTAATTTTCAGTCGTAATTGTTTTATTAAACAATCTAAAGCGTGTACTGAGTTGTTAAAAATTCGGGGATGATCTACGTAATCTAGCCCCCAATCGGGGGTCGTTAGGGGTATAGGTAAATTTTTGTACACCGAAAACAACGAAATTCCTTTCAGGGATGACCTTTCCCACATTTTTTGTTTTCTTTGGCAAAGTCCTTTCATTTTGGTGAGAATATTTACTATATTAGGAATCTGAACGATGTACTTACGATAGTCTTCGTTGTGGGCGTAAAGCCAGATCAATGTGCAAAGATAAGGAAAAAGAGGTTCATCTTTATCACACCAGTGCAACATTACTTGGAACGTTCGCTCGATATATTCGGGCACCCAAGAGGCTTCTTTGGTTGGGGGATATTTACAGAAATTAATTAAAATACTAGTGGCTAAAACGCTCGCTTTCATATCCGGTAAAGATCGAATTGCAGATATTATCATCTTGAATAAATTTTCGGGTAATATTTTGCTGAGTTTCATGCATGTATCACGACACCTTCTGGTGATGAAATCTAGCAACAAAAAGTAGATTATTAGTTAAATAATTATATAATGAAGTAGCTTTCTACTTTTTAATAGTATAGGCTAACCGTTAAATATGTTAATTAATAAATTGGAAATTATTCTGTATTGATATGCAACACTTAATTGACAAGACTAGGGTCGATAAAAGTGTGAAAATGACTCCCACAACGGTGACTTTAATTTTTATTAATTTTTTTTTATTGTTCCGTATATGAATTTATTGTAATATTACTCCAACAGTGAAACACAATCATTAGGGTGGTCAAACATTTTACCAATTTTTTTTTCTGGTTTTCCCATCATTAACGATATACTTATTTTATACTAATCGTAAGTGAACGAAAATACCATTCAGATTCTTAAATACGTTTTTTTTAGATGTAGAAGAATTTATAATCTAAAACAAAAAAATTGGTACCTTGTTTCGCACAATAGATTTTTTAACGAAGATAACAGAATTAAATTTCAACTTTACTATTGAACATAATCACCCTGTACACGAAAAAGCTATTTTCTAGTTTTACAGTAGATTCAGAGATATTTATAAGATTCGTACTTGCAATTATTAATTTAATAATGATTTTTAACAAGTAATGAGTTATCCACTTTTTACTTAAGATAACAATTTTTACTTACATTAGTTATTTGAAGTTAAGGCAGACTTGTACGTAGATGTAAAAATTACTTTTAAAAGACTTACCAAGATCAGTGAGAGCACGTATAATCTGACCCATTGACGGATTATCCTGAATAAGAAGATGCAAGCATTGTTCCCTTCTATGACCAAGTGTCTTTTCTGGATGTGCGTTATTAGTTGCATTTTCAAGTCTACTGTAAATATTATTTATTTCTGAAGAACTCCCTTTTCTTTCGAAGTAACCTCTCCAATTGGCCTGTTATTCAAAACATATTTTTTAACAATACATAAAAAAAAGTAAATTTCAATTGTTTACCTGAATTTTTATTGCTGCATTATGTTCTTTTATTTGTTTTTCCCGTTCTTGTCTCCTGCTTGTAAATTCTTTTTTGAACTTTTTGCGGAACAAATATCCTTTAATACATCTCTGTAGGTTCACGATGGCCTCCATTTTTTCTCTTTCTATTTTCTTTTCTCGTAAAGTCCTTTGGACTTTTACCACAATTTTTTTCAGATTCAAATATCGCGATCTATCGTTAATCATATGCCGTTTTGCTCTAAACCTGTTTTGTATTATAATAACGGCCTTTTTAAGCGTTAAATATCTTTGCCTTTCATTTCTCATTGCTACTGAAGCCCTATATCTCCTTTGAATTAGAATTGTGTATTTTTTTAGTAAAATGTATTCGCGCCTTTGCGTTCTCATTAAATTAATTGATCTATACCACCTTTGTATGGTCACAGTGGCATTTCGAAGATTGTTATACTTATGAATTTCCCTTAACATTGCCCTTTTTGCTCTGTACTTTACTTGAAGAACAATAACTTTTTCTCGAAGGCTTATATAATAAATTCGTTGTTGTTTCATTAATTCATTGGCCCTGAATTTTCTCTGTATCACTATTGCAGCATTATGCTTTTGCAAGAACTGTTGTCGAGTTTTTTTCATTAGTAAATACCTTCTAAACGCCCTTTGAATTATAATTGATGCGGTTTTTAGTTTAGAATACAAAGCATTAGCAATTCTTGATTTTAATTTAGCCCTATATCTTCTTTGAAGTACTACTGTTAAAGTTTTTAACTTGATATAGTAAGCTCTTTCAATTTTCATAGCTTTATTGGCTTTATACTTTTGTTGAATCACTAAAGTGGCTTTATATATGTTTAAGTAGTCTTTCCTGACAGATTTCATTAATCTTAATGCTCGATACCTTCTTTGAATAACGATCGTATATTTTCGAATCATCTGGAAATATGTTTTCGTCATTTTCATGGCCATGGTAGCCCTATATTTCCTTTGTACAAATAGTGCCGCCTTTTGCAATTGCAAATAATCATCTCTAGCGTTCTTCATTGATTTTAAAGCTTTATATTTCCTCTGAATTGTAATTGAAGCATTACGTAAACGTTGATACTCGATTTTAGCAATTTTCATCATCATATTTGCTCTATATTTCCTTTGAACAAATATTGCAGCCCTTCTTAGATTTAAATAATCACATCTGTTATTCTTCATTAATTTCAAAGCTCTATATCTTCGTTGGACATTAATTGTGGCTTCACGTAGGTTTTGGTAATCCCTTTTAACAATTTTCATGGTTCTGTTTGCCCTAAATCTATTTTGTATAGTTATTGTAGCCTGTTTTAATTGTTGATAATTGTTTCGCTCGGTTTTCATTAATTTTATAGCCCGATATCTCTTCTGTATTACAATTGCGGAATGACGTAAGTTTAAGAAATCATTTCTTGCAATTTCTTTAGCTCTTTTAGCTCTGAAGTGCCTTTGTATTACGATAGTTGCTCTTTTTAGATTCTGGTAATTATTTTTTGAATCTCTCATTAATATTAAAGCTCGGTACCTTCTTTGAATTCCTACAGTGGTGTTTTTCAATTTTTGGAAATCATTTTTAGCACTTTTCATAGCTTTATTGGCCTTGTACAGTCTTTGTATGAAAATAGTTCTTTTCCGCAATTCCAGATAATATTTTCTTACCATTTTCATTCGGTATGTTCTTTGAATTGTTAATGTAGCTTGTTTCAAATTTTGGTAAGTTTCTTTGGCACTGTGCATTGCTTTCTGAGCTCTGTAACGTTTTTGAATTATTTGTATTGCTTTTTGTAAATCGAGATATTCTTTTCTTGCACTTTTCATTAATCTTTGAGCTCTAAATCTTTTTTGAATTATAATCACAGCTTGACGTAATGTTTGGAAGTTATTTCTCGCAATTTTTGTTATTACATAACTTTTATATTTTCTCTGCAAAAGCAAAGTAGCTTGATATATCCTCAAATAATTATGTCTAACTATTCTCATTCGTTTCATAGCTCTATATCTTCTTTGGATTGTTATCGAAGCTTGGACTAAATTCTGAAAATCGTTTTTGGCAATTTTCATAGCTTTATTGGCTCTATACTTTCTTTGTATAAAAACTGTTGCTTTATACACTTGTAAGTAATAGTTTCTGATACCTTTCATGAGTTTTAAAGCCCTGTAGCGTCTCTGAATTGTAATTGTAGCGTTTCGTAAATTATGGTAGTTATTTTTTGCAATTTTCATTATTTTCATAGCCCTATATTTCGTTTGTAATAATACTGTAGCTTTACATATTTCCATATAGTTATTTCTATCTTTCCTCATTAGCTTCAAAGCTCTGTATCTTCTTTGAATTATTATTGTGGCTTTTCGTAATTTTTGGAAACCATTCCTAGTCTCTTCCATACATTTTTTGGCTCTGAATAACCTTTGTATATAAAGCGTTGCTTTTTGCAAATCTAGATAACGGTTTCTTGCAATTTTCATTTGTTTCAAAGTTCTATAATGATTCTGAATAGTAATGACGGCTGAACGTAAGTTTTGAAAATTCTCTCTTGCTATTTTTGAAGTTCTGTTTGCTCTAAATTTATTTTGAATATAAATCACAGTTTCTTTTAACTTTACATAATATTTTCTTTGTATTTTCATTGCGGCGTTCGCTCTAAATCTCTGTTGGATTAAAATTGTTGCTTTTTGCAGTTGTAGGTAGTTTTGTTTCGTAATTCTTGCAATTCTTAATGCTCTATATCGTCTTTGTAAAATAACAGTGGCAGTTTTGATACGACGATATTGGTCTCTTTGCTTCTTCATTTCTTGGTTTGCTCGAAATTTTCTTTGGATAAATATAACTGAATGTTTAAATTGCAAATAGTGGATCCTGTGAATTTTTGTAGCTTTGTTCGCTTTGTACCTACTCTGAATTAAAATAACAGATGCACGTAATCGTATGTAATAATTTCTGGCTGATTTCATAGCTTTTAAGGCCCTATACTGCCTTTGGATAGTATGTGCTGCAGATTTTAGGGAGTTGTACTCATATTTTTGCCTTCTCATAGCAATATTTGCTCGGTATTTTCTTTGAACGAAAATTGTAGCATTCTTAAGGTTACTGTAATATTGTCTTTCAGTTTTCATAAGTTTATTTGCCCTATATTTCCTTTGGATTTTAATGGTTGCCTCTCGTAATTGATGATAATTTGCTCTTTCATGTTTCATAATTTTATAGGCCCTGTATTGTGATTGTATTACAACTGTAGCCGATTTTAATTGTCTGTAGTTATACATTTCTTTTTTCATTGCAATGGTGGCTTTATACCTTCTTTGAATAATAACAGTAGCTTTTCGTAGATTTACGTACAAATTTCTTTCGATTTTCATAGACTTGTTCGCTCTGAATCTTCTTTGAATTGTTATACACGCCTGGCGTAAATTTAGGAAATATTTTCTAGCTTGTTTCATATTCCAATATCCCCTGAAGGCTTGCTGAATTGTTATAGTAGCTACTTTTAGTCGTAGGAATTTATTTTTTGCTACCCAAACTTTACATAAAGATTGCAATTTCACTATGGCCCATTTTCGCTTTTCTACTCTTTTCTTTACTAAATATTTTCGGCAATGACTTTGCAACAAAATCATTAAAGCCTTAAATTTTAAATATTTGCTCCTTTCTACTCTCATTCGTAAATAGCTTTGTATTTTCTGGGCAGCGATGAGCATTTTCTTTTCTTCAGTAACTATTTTCGCTATTGGTACCAATTGACGTAAAATAAGTTGGGATAGTTTTTGCCTTTTGTACCATCTTTGTATTGTACTTGCAGCCTTTTCGTAAGTTTCACGTTGTTTTATTAAAATTCTCAATCTGATTTGAACCCTCAGGCTCCTCCACCAATTTTGAATTGTTAATGCAGCTTCTTTGTATCTTGGCCCTTGAAATTTATACACTATTTGCCAAAGTAAAGAAAGAGTTTTCTCCCTGTGTCCGTCAACGATGTCAGTTGGTACAATATCTCCCTTTATTTCGAAACCAGAAGAATTTAAAGCTTCAAAAGCTACTCTGACGTTATGTACTTTTTGAAGACGTGAAATGGCGGGAGCCCTCAGCTCATTGGTCAAATCGTTTCGTAACAATATTAGCTCAACTATTCTTGTTATACGCACACCGTCGCGAAGGTCAGAACTTAATTCTTTAATTGCATATTCATACTCGTGAATATAACTTTGCTTGTAAGTCAAGACATACCCAAATGGTTTTAGGTACTTGGTAACATCGCCTACAGCATAAAGAAGTTCTTTAGAAAAATGCAGCAGTATTTCTCTACTCTCTTTAATTTGCGCCTTTTTGGAGAAGAGACAAGGATCGTAGAAGATTAATTTTTTGTTTTTAGCGACGTCCAAAAAGTAGACGATATATAAAAATTTCTTGAGGATTATCTTTTTGATTTCTAACGTGTATTTTTCACATTGTGGAGTTTTGTATTTGCGTAGGAGAAACGCATTTTTAAAGAATTTCTCTTTTAAAAAGTGATGTAAACTCGCTATAATTGATTTTGGTTGAAGTTCAATTATCGTTCCAAAAACGACTTCCAAACCGATTTGTAGCCAAAAGGGATTATAACTTAGAAAGAGCTTCATAATTTCTGACTGTAGACTTACATTAAGATGAGGATTTTTATCTTTTCTAATTGAAAGCTTGTTTGAGTCTACTATCGCCCCAATTTTTTGGATAACGTCTCTTATCTCATCTGATCTGTATAGGCTTAATGCTGTTTTACGTAGATTGTTCAAACGTCCTGTGAAAAAGAAGTTTTTTGTTACTTGCTGTTTAGAAGGGGCAAAAGAAAGATCTTTTTGTTTAGACTCTTGCCATATTTTTCCAACATCTGGAGGATTTTCATGAGCATTGAGCTCATCAGGAGGTGTAAGTAATAGATTTAGACATTTGACGAAGTTTCTTTCTTGAGCATCGATCCATTCTGGGTCGTAACAAGTTCTATTAAGAAAAGGGTCTATGGATGTCGTTGCGGCTATTATAAAGGGATTTTTTATATTGATGTCGAAATTCTGATTTTTTTGAGCTGATACGACTGTCGTTTTTGATTTATCCAAAATACTTGACCGTCTATACCGAGATCTGTTCCAGTTGGTGGCATTTGAACCACAAGTCTTTTTAGGGGGCGTTAGGTACAAATGAATATTTGACTTTCGTTTTAAACCTTTCCTAGGGCTATCATTTTCACTTTCACTACTGCTCGTGGTGGGCAAATGAGTTTCTTCAGATATAAAATCTAGTTGTACAGGCTTTTCCTTACACCATAAGTTTGCTTCCAAGATTCCTTTTACTCCCTCGCCTGACAGGTTTAACTGGTGCATAGGAGAAATAGCGCAGACAAAATTCCCTGAAAAGGGCTCTTCTCCCAGACGAGTACTTGTGCTTATGTTGTGTATATCTCCGTAGGTTTCTGTACTTATATTGGTTTTAAGATATGTCTCATTGATAGTACTTTTAACGTTAGCTTCACTACTTATTAAGTTACTTTTTACGTACGTTTCGCTAGAAATATTTCTTTTAGGACTGCCTTTTGTATATGTTTCTGTGCTAATGTTACCTTTGTCACATGTCACAATTTCTCTAAAATACGTGTCGCTAATTCTTGGTTTATCTAAATTTTCTTTTATGTATGTGTCACTGTTTCTTTCTGAGATGTATGTTTCAGTATTGATGTTGTTTTTCATGCAGAAATCGTTGGAAAATCGATTCTCCATATTAAAGTTTTCCTGACCACCTGACGGGGTGTTTTCTTTACCATTCGTAAAAGAGAAATCAAAATTAAAGGCAGAGAGTCGCAGACCATGTTTCGGAATCATTTCAGTCTTAACTTTTTCTTCTATGTGGATAGATTTTCTGTTCGTGGAACATATATTTGGATGCAATTCTAATGAAACTCTTATGTCTTTATGAGCTTGTACTGGAGTTAATTGAAACATCGATGAATTTAGTTTATTATGGAGACTATTTTTAGGTGATTGAAAAGCAGTTCCTGGGACATGAATCATGTTTGATAAATCCTTTAAATGTATTTTGTCTTGCTCAAAAGGGTTTTCTAGACTTTCTTTCAGCTTTTCAAGACTGTCGTCAAAATTTTCGATCTTTATTTGTGCCATGTAGTCATTTTGTCTTACAGTATAAGTATTTCGAGAAAATCTAATATCACTCTCAATTGAATGTTCAAAATCTACTTTTGAGGGAGAAATGAAGTTACTGTTATCTAAGGGATGCGATTTATGAAGAGGTTTTTGATTTTCTTTGTCGTTTCCAAAATTTTTAATATTAAAATTTGTAACTTTGTTGGAGTTGTATCTTCTTGGTAGATTTTGAGAAAATGGGGAAATCTTGGTCTTTCTTTGAGGAGAAAATTTACTTAACTTTAATGGTTTGTTACTTTTTGGGGGCGTTTTAACTTTTTTTGAAACAACTCTCGGCATATTCACTTTCTTTGTTGTTTTTTGTGTTTTCTGAAAATGCGTTACAATGCTGTTTAAATTTAAAACAGACGGTAAAATCAAAATAAAGTTATTTCCAAGAAAGTATCTGTTTTGAATTCTTTTTAATTAAACTCGAAATGCTGCTGTATTAGCAATTAATGCAATTTTTTTCAGGTACAAAGGTAACATCAAATTTTGGAATTATAGATTTTCATATGTATTTTTATATAATTTGAAAATTGCCATTAGGAGGCTTGTGAATAAATTAATCCAGAGAATCATTAAAAATTTTTTATCAAATAATAATTGATTTCATACCTTAATCTTAATCTTTTAATGCAGCTAGAAGGGGCCATATTTAAGTATTACATAAGCTCCAAAGGGGGGGAGGGAACTAACCGTTACTTATTTTTGATGACATTAGGGATGGGAAGGTTTGGATGGTGATTATGTCAGCAATATTTATTTATTTACCTTTTCTGATTTTTCTGCAAAATTTAGTAGATTCTGATTTGACCAAATATGAACAAACAGATTTAAAAAAATATATACTAATGTATACATAAGAAAAGGGGTGGAGACAGCTTTTCTTATTTTTGTTGACAAGGTGGAAAGAGGAGGGTTAAATTTACTAAAATTCTACTTAAGTAATACTTGAATGACCCCAATACAGTTTTTACAACCTATTAGAGCCTAAAGCCCTGATTGATCACAACAAAAATAACTATAGAAAATATATGAATTTAATTCCAAATTCAGTGGTCTTTCAATGACTACTTACTTTCTCTGGTATGCTCTTGTATGATATAACAACATCTTTTTTGAGTCGACCACTCTCAAATATGACAGTATCTCTCCAGGCACCTTCACATAGTGGACACCAAACTAGTTCAACTGCAATTTCACTTTTTGAAGGTATGATACCTTTGTCAAAAAGGATTTTAAAGTTTCTGTCAGGTGGAGGTTGCTTAATTACTGAGATCTAAAATTATTATTGTTTGAAGTAAACACATGCTAAACATTATTTTTGAAATAATAGTCAATAAATTAATAATGTAGGTACGTACTTCAATCTTGTGACTTGATGGGTTTCTGAGAATCAACAATCGTGATTCAGTAGTTCCAATTTTAATATTATCAAAAGAGATTTTTGGATTTGATGTGAATGGAGCTAGGCATAAAACTGGTGTTTCATCTGTTTCAACTTTAGTGGGCTCCGTAACAGGTTTCAGCTTAGTTGGAGGTGAAATATTAAACTGCAACAGATTTAAACTAATAAAATAGAAAACAATTTTACATTATTACTGTTTACCTGAAAGGACATTTTGATTAATAGTTTAAATGAAAATTAATAATTTTTATGAACACATAAAAAATGTTGCGAATAAAATATACACAAGTCGCTCAATTAACACAAACACACTGCTTTACATTATATAAAAGCATTAATTAATAACAGACGTTTTTTATGGTTAGGAATTTAAATTTAAAGACTGGAATTGTTAACGTTTTTTTGAATGTCAACCATAGATAAGATATCAACCATAGATNAGCAATATTTATTTATTTACCTTTTCTGATTTTTCTGCAAAATTTAGTAGATTCTGATTTGACCAAATATGAACAAACAGATTTAAAAAAATATATACTAATGTATACATAAGAAAAGGGGTGGAGACAGCTTTTCTTATTTTTGTTGACAAGGTGGAAAGAGGAGGGTTAAATTTACTAAAATTCTACTTAAGTAATACTTGAATGACCCCAATACAGTTTTTACAACCTATTAGAGCCTAAAGCCCTGATTGATCACAACAAAAATAACTATAGAAAATATATGAATTTAATTCCAAATTCAGTGGTCTTTCAATGACTACTTACTTTCTCTGGTATGCTCTTGTATGATATAACAACATCTTTTTTGAGTCGACCACTCTCAAATATGACAGTATCTCTCCAGGCACCTTCACATAGTGGACACCAAACTAGTTCAACTGCAATTTCACTTTTTGAAGGTATGATACCTTTGTCAAAAAGGATTTTAAAGTTTCTGTCAGGTGGAGGTTGCTTAATTACTGAGATCTAAAATTATTATTGTTTGAAGTAAACACATGCTAAACATTATTTTTGAAATAATAGTCAATAAATTAATAATGTAGGTACGTACTTCAATCTTGTGACTTGATGGGTTTCTGAGAATCAACAATCGTGATTCAGTAGTTCCAATTTTAATATTATCAAAAGAGATTTTTGGATTTGATGTGAATGGAGCTAGGCATAAAACTGGTGTTTCATCTGTTTCAACTTTAGTGGGCTCCGTAACAGGTTTCAGCTTAGTTGGAGGTGAAATATTAAACTGCAACAGATTTAAACTAATAAAATAGAAAACAATTTTACATTATTACTGTTTACCTGAAAGGACATTTTGATTAATAGTTTAAATGAAAATTAATAATTTTTATGAACACATAAAAAATGTTGCGAATAAAATATACACAAGTCGCTCAATTAACACAAACACACTGCTTTACATTATATAAAAGCATTAATTAATAACAGACGTTTTTTATGGTTAGGAATTTAAATTTAAAGACTGGAATTGTTAACGTTTTTTTGAATGTCAACCATAGATAAGATATCAACCATAGATATGACATTGTTCATAGATATTAAGTGTTGCCAGATAACTACTCAGTTAATTCAGTTGTATTTAAATATGAGTATCTCTTAGAGAAATTTTATTGTTATATAAATAATTATAAGTATTTAAAATATGTTACATAAATACTTACACACAAAACTTACTTTTACTTTAATTGAAACGTTACAATTAATTAATCAAATAATGAGTAAAACGCAAATTCAGCATGCGATTGATAAGTACGTATTTAAAAATTACTAACATTTTTAAAAATGTACTAGAAATCGTAACAACTGGAATATTTGGTATAAAAGTGAAATGATGACTTGGGAAATATATTTATGTAAAGCGTTCATTATCATCATAAGGTCATCAGTCCTAAGACTGGTTGGACACGTACCTCCACTCTTTCCTATCCTGAGCTAAACTTCGCATTTCCCTAAAACTAGAACAGCCCACATCCTTAACTATTTGCGAAGAGTAATCTAATCTAGGTCTACCTCTACCCCTCCTAACTCCTGTTTCTGCCTCTAATATGTCTCTGACTAGACCTTCATGTAAAGCGTTAATAACTGAAAATTAACATAATGGGCTATGTCCTGGTGGTTAACTACAGACTAATAAGAAACAAAAATAAATTGCTTTTTAGTTGTAATTATGTATTAGATGAAAAAACAAATGAATATGCTCAAATCGCCTTCTTAGATTGAGGTAAATTCAATATGTAAATGTGGAGCCTTATTTGCTGATATGACATAATCTAATTTTTTTTTAAACATTTCAATTGCTATCAAATTATACAACTATACTTTAAACATAAAAAACGTGATGGACATAAACAAAACAAAACAGTGTCGTCCGTTAATAAAATTAACATATTGTTGTATATTTAAATTTATTACTAAAAGTTACTGGATCTTTTGTGTGGAAATAGCAAAGTATCTAATCGTATTTTTTTTCTGGTTTCTAATGGAGCTCCATGGCCAGGCCTTCCCCAAAAGCTATCCCAAGTATTGAAGTGTTGCTTTGACTTTTCAAAGTCCTCCAAAATACTCGACTGTAACAAAATTGAAACAGAATTGTATATCACGATCGAGTCGAAATTTTTCTTGCAAAACTTAGATCATTAAAAACATGAAACAAAATGTCATAGGTACCTTAATTTTTTCTCTTCTTTCATCAACTTGGGACTGCAAATTGTGGAAATATTCATTGTCACATTCGACTCTAAAAATTAGTTTTAGTTTTTGGGGTTGTGTTGAGATATTCTTAGGGTTTACTACCTGTTTTCCATTACTTTGGTGACATCGGTAGAGCTTAGGGAATATTTTCGTGGCATGTTTCTATCTCTGGCTAAAACCCTCACCAGTTCTACTCCATCGGAGGGTATATCGCTACAAGGGCGGTGATCGTATAAATTTTTAGCATACTCTCTTATAGCTACATGTTTCGGATTATCTGGATCAATTTTTCGACTACTATAGTAATCCAAATCGGTATTTTCCTGTGCTATGTTTTTTAACATCTTGTTGTCTGTCCAGCCCTTTCGAAAATAAATAAAACCATTTTCTGTAGCTAAGTCGTCTAAGTTTACTTTTTTTTTTGTTAAGTATACTACGTAATTAAGTTCGCCATTTTTGATTAGATGTCCCGTCCTATTTTTCCAAATCTTTTCTCAAAGAAATACAAATCCTGCAAACTTATTATTTTTCTGTCTTTTCCTTTTTTAATAAGTATTATGTAGTAAGTGCNGATCCTTATTAAGACAAAGGCTCATGATTTTTATCTTAGTTCAGTTTTTGCTAATCATCGTTAAAGGCCAAGAAAATCGGAGTTTGCTGTTGCCATTTTGGTTTATTTGGTTTTGTGATTAGGATACGTATCTTGAAATTTCAATATGAGACAATTTTGAGGCCAAAATGTCTGATGCTAAAAATTACTGCTAAGCAGTTCTGCAATTAGGTTTAAAGTATGCGGCAAGACACATTGGAGATGATTACTGTTTTGGTTGTTTGTTTTTTTACTCCAGTAAAAAGATCAAAAATTCCATATCGAAATAAATTTTGATCGCAAATGATATTTGTAGTCTTAGTAGGGACATAGCTATGGGTGAGCCAAGATCCATGAATTAGAAGTACTGGTCCTCCTTAAATATAACATTAACTCGGTGTAACCATATGAGGCTTTATCTAATAATTGAAGAATTTATGTATATTACTTTGTCCAAATCAAGAGAATTTGCGATTCATGATTGCTAAATTACATAATTGCTTAAAAAGAGTGGTAAAAAATTGTATACGCGCCAAGGGACGAAATTTAACATGCGGTCTGAGATATTCATTACGTTTTTGACGTATCCCTACTAAAAGTATAATGGTTTTTCCTCATTTCAGGGACGAAAACGCACGGCACCACTTCCCGAGAATTCGTTTACACCCGGGAGGAAATCCCGATGTGTGGGATTATATGCTTGCTATTTTAGATTGTCATTATTAAGGAACTCAAGGCTGCGACGGTTTGATTCATCCTTAGCACATGCTAAAAAAGCAGCAGGAAAAGAAATCCATTGATCTTAGTTTCTTTAACCAAGTTGATACATGTTAACGGATAGAAAACGTTAGAAACGAAGAGATGTTGGGAAACGAAGACCAGAGAGCACTGTGGAAGTAAGCAGGAAAAAGTAGAGGTAAGGTGATAGGACACCTTCTGAGGCATGAAGAGTTGGTTGGAGACATATTAGAAGCAGAATTAGGAGTAAATAGGAGCTGAAGAAGACCTAGATGAGATCATTTAATACGTAAACAGTTGGAAATGTAAGATGTTCTAGTATTCGGAAAATGAGGATATTAGCATGGGATAGTGAAAATGGAGCTGATGACGTTCTAATGATGATTAGTTCTTTTTTGAGAAAGAATGTTTTCTGTCAAAAATTCGAAAAAATTCTTGAAAGAAACCTCCTGCTAATTGCTACAAAAAAGAAAGCATGAAAACATTCTATCGGCTTACATTACTTTTAGCACATCCTTCGTATGTTTCTAAATTAATTAATAATGGGTAACAAGTAGGTAACACATAATTATAAAAAAATGAAATAAAAGTTATTTAGTCGGACAATAGCTTTTACGTGATTATCACCTACCAAAGATTGTAGAAATTTTAGACCTATGTTCTCTTTCCAACTGGGGCTCTGAGTGTAAGGATTCTGCGACACCGTTTGTCCAATGTTCTAACAGCAAATGTGAAAATAATTATTAAGATATTAATAAAGAAATAACAAAAACAATTCAGATAGTAGAGCAAATATTACTTGAAACATCAGTGTTTGATGGGTTTCTGAGAATCAACAATCGTGATTCAGTAGTTCCAATTTTAATATTATCAAAAGAGATTTTTGGATTTGATGTGAATGGAGCTAGGCATAAAACTGGTGTTTCATCTGTTTCAACTTTAGTGGGCTCCGTAACAGGTTTCAGCTTAGTTGGAGGTGAAATATTAAACTGCAACAGATTTAAACTAATAAAATAGAAAACAATTTTACATTATTACTGTTTACCTGAAAGGACATTTTGATTAATAGTTTAAATGAAAATTAATAATTTTTATGAACACATAAAAAATGTTGCGAATAAAATATACACAAGTCGCTCAATTAACACAAACACACTGCTTTACATTATATAAAAGCATTAATTAATAACAGACGTTTTTTATGGTTAGGAATTTAAATTTAAAGACTGGAATTGTTAACGTTTTTTTGAATGTCAACCATAGATAAGATATCAACCATAGATATGACATTGTTCATAGATATTAAGTGTTGCCAGATAACTACTCAGTTAATTCAGTTGTATTTAAATATGAGTATCTCTTAGAGAAATTTTATTGTTATATAAATAATTATAAGTATTTAAAATATGTTACATAAATACTTACACACAAAACTTACTTTTACTTTAATTGAAACGTTACAATTAATTAATCAAATAATGAGTAAAACGCAAATTCAGCATGCGATTGATAAGTACGTATTTAAAAATTACTAACATTTTTAAAAATGTACTAGAAATCGTAACAACTGGAATATTTGGTATAAAAGTGAAATGATGACTTGGGAAATATATTTATGTAAAGCGTTCATTATCATCATAAGGTCATCAGTCCTAAGACTGGTTGGACACGTACCTCCACTCTTTCCTATCCTGAGCTAAACTTCGCATTTCCCTAAAACTAGAACAGCCCACATCCTTAACTATTTGCGAAGAGTAATCTAATCTAGGTCTACCTCTACCCCTCCTAACTCCTGTTTCTGC